TGGTGCTCACTCTTCGTGCTGCTGGAGTTCAGCGGGCGTTGCCCAGGACGGTGTTGGTGCGACCGCTGTGTGTGGCTGGAAGAGAAGTATGGGCACGGTGCCGGGGGAAGATGAGACGAGTCGGATGGCAGCGGTGGTGGTGAGTGGGTGCGTGCGCCGGCTGTGCTGCTGTTGCTGCTGTGTGTGCTGGGCTGTCTGCAGAGTGGGCGGTTGTATCCGTGTGATTGTGTTGCGTCCTGGAGCCACGATTGACATGCTGTAAGACTGTTGTTGTTGTTTGTGTGGTGTCTTGCCGCGCTGCTGTGGGAGGGACGTCGCTGCACTAACCTTCGACGGCACTCAGTGTGGTTTGCTGCTGCTGTGGGTGTGGGGTAATGTCTTCTCTTGGTGCCTGGGCCTTGCTGTGTGCGTGACTGTGCGCCGCCCCTTAGGTGTGTTTTGTTATTGCGTGGGGTTGCACTGTGCATGTGCTGGGCTTCTGTTGGTGCTGTGTGGCGTTGTTGTTCTCTCACTGGTGGTTACTGTGTGCTTGGCTGCCCTCTGTTGTTAATTCTTGTGTAGGCCTTTGCGTCGAAGCGACTCTGACTGCAGTATCATGCTGGTGGTGCGCCACGTGCTGCTCGTTGTTGCCCTCCTGCTGCTGTGCCGGATTGTGCCGGCTGTTGGGGATTCAACAAGCAGCATGAATGAAGCGAAAGAAGCTCTTTCGCGTGCTAAGCAAGCTGCAGAGACAGCAAAAGATGTTTTTGAAGCTGCTCTCAAAATGGCTGAAGGGGCTAAGAATGATGCCGTAGGGGGACTAAGTGCTGCGAAGGAGGCACAAACTGCGGCTGAGGACCTTAAAAATTCAGGTCAACCTGACGTTGATAATAAAAAGGCTACTGAAGTTAGGGGAAAGGCGTCAACTGCTGCGACACGTTCTCAGAAGGCAATGGACCTCCTTCGTACGGCGGCAGGTTTGTCACAAGAGGCAAAGAATAAGGCAAAGGAAGCGTCGGATATGGCGCATATGATCACAGATGAAGTCAATAAGGCAATGGATTTGTTGGGTGATTTAGCCCCACAAGAAGTAAAAGATTTATTGAAACTCGCAAAAGCGACTGAGGCTGGATTTTCTCAAGCAGTGAGCGATGCAACTTCTTCTTCGAGTGACGCAACGAATGCTCAGGCGAGCGCAAAAGCTGCAAATGACCACGCCAAGCAGGCAATGGATGAAGCTGAAAAGATAGCGGGCATAACAGTGAACTCGGATGGTATGCACACAGGTACAAATCAAGAACATCTGAAGAAATTCAGTGCAAGTGCCGTATCGGACGCTACGAAGGCACATGAAAGCGCTAAAACTGCAGCGGATAAGGCGAAAACAGCATATGAGAACGCTAAGACGGCATCTGACGCAGCTGGAAAAATACTGGATGCTACAGATCTCGCAGTAGCGGCTGCTGATAAAGTTGTGATACAACCTAAGAAACATATTTCGCCCTCACAAAGTTCCCAGGGAGGCATGGGTTCACAAGTGCCACAAAATATGCAGGTCAATGCGAAGCCTGCCAAGGCCGACATGCGTCGAGTAAATAACGAAGATGTTGTGGCTCCTTCTCAAACAAATAAAGGAAATGAAGCCGAACAGGGCCAAGTGATATCAAAATATACGAAAGAAGTGCAAGTACCTAACAATACTCCTGTTACAGCCGCTTCTCAAACACCGGCAGAAGGAAAGGACAACACCCTAACACTTCCCCCTGCAGATGCACCCAACGCAGCCGATGCACAAGCCCCGCCAGCCGGTGATTCAGAGGCAGTCGACGTGCCTAATGG